ATGTCCGAAACTCTACCCTGTGGTCTACTGGTTCCCAAGGTACCATACTATGTGGTTCTCTGGTTGGATCCCATGTCAAATCATTCCAAGGGTAGGCCGAGGACACATTTGATAATCACAAGTTTATAGTCTCGGTAGACTAGAGGTACTGGTAACACCGGGATTGTAATAACACTCAGATTAGTGTTACAAATGGTATGACAAAATCAATACACTCCCATCTCTTTTGATGATGGGTATACAAAAAATAATTAAAATGCATTTGAAATGGTATTGATGCCAAAGCAATTTATTTAAATCAAATGTAATCTGCATAAATACCTCCGAGTTCAGACTGACAGCTGTACAGGCATACTAACTCTCTCGAATACACATATACTCCCAATGCACACATACACACACACAAACTGATAATTACTATTGTGTATGTATAATGAGAGTGTGCGTATGCTGGGGGCCAAAATGCCTCAGTATAAAAGTCAGTTCGTATAACACCATAGTGGTAATTTGCCTCTAGCCTTTAACGCACACATACGCTAATACGCACTCTGTTCCTTTACCTATACGTATGTACGTATTCCTGTAGTTCCGGGTAACTACGGCAAAATTTAAAACATGTTTGTATTAAGTTTTGTCTTTCGTAGGAGTAACTAAATTTACAGGTAATTATCACACTTTACTACATTCTTAGACAGATTTTAAACAACAAAGTAGTAAGATATTTGAAAAAATGGATACTTTTATCTACTTGTAAAACTGCTGGGACACACAGGCGTGTATGTCCTGCCTGTTTGTGTGATTATCTGTATATAGTTGCTATATGTATCTGTTTACATAAACAGGCTAATAATATATAAAGCTGCATAAATACTTGGCTCTATCATGTTTATGTGAGAGTAAGCGGTATTTTGCAAACATATTTACTACCAAATAAAATTCATTTTACCAAAACCATGTAAATTACTAGAAAATGAAATGCGATCCTAACGTTTAATTGTTTGAATGCATGTACGAGTACATATGAAAGTGTATGTTCTTTATAAATACCATTGTTGATCTGTGTATTTTGGAAACGAAAGCAGTCTAAAAAGTTATTTTAAAACAATAAAAGTATATATAAATTTTCTTATGCTCAGTACATTTGTATAAAACATTGTACAAAACTAATATTTATACAAATAAAATTAAACGAAAAATACCTTTTCAGTTTATCCTCGTATTTATTTATACATTTAAATATAGTTGCATTTGTACGAGTGTATGCATTTAATTAGTACGCAATCATTTGTAATAACGAACGGGTATGCCATTACAACAATAACAACAGCAACACTATAGACAACAAACAGATATAATAATGTAATGTTTTAAATTTTTGTTTCTGTGGGTTTTTACTGGAAAATATATAAAATACATATGAAAAAAAAATTTAAATAAAATTACTATGAAAAACATACCAATCATTTTGGCGGCTGACTTTTATTTACATGACCAATCATTGAATACGGTAATGATGACGTTTACACACTTTGGCAGTTTATATTTTTTTGGGTTTTTTTTGCATTTCGCTAATCAGCATAAAAGCTGTTTAAGTAACGCGTAGTGTTTTCTATAGACAATTTTATTTTATTTAACTATAACAAACAGAGATTTAAAATCATGATATGCAGAATAAAACATTTAATTATATATTTGTTTGCCCTTTAGTGAAGATATCTATTAGAGTGGAGCGGATTTGCGGAAAGAATTTTAAAATATTCTAATCGGTTTTTGTGAAAAGCAATAGTTTTAGAAAATTCTGCTTTTTAATCAAAACTGTATTTTTAATGAAAAATTCGAATTTGAGTGAAAATTAAGATTTGTGCCGAACAATTTAATTTAACGAAAAACAAGTAAGAAATTATAGTCGGGCGAGGTCGACCATATAATACCCTACACCTGTTACAAAAATAAAATGTGATTTAGTTTTCATAATAAAGCATTTAAGTTGAATTGTACCTTGGATATACTTAAGCCATTTATTCAGATACAATTAAGCCATTTATTGTTGAATAAAATTGTGGACATTTAAGTCAAATTTTGAAGGGGGCTTTGTATAGGGCATATGGTGAAATGAGACCTATAATTATAAAATTCATGAGAGTCATCAATGCTAGTATAGAACTTGGTTTTGCAGCTTTTTGTCGAGATACGAGTATATTAAACATAATATGAACTTAAAAGCCATATTAGTCGGGTTCAGTTGTATGGGGGCTAGGTAAACTAATAGACAGATGTTAACCATTTTCAATAGGCTTCGTCTCCAGTACCATAGAAGATCATGTGCCAAATTTCATTGAATTATCATCAAAATTGCGACCTGTAGTCAGATTACAAGTTTTACTAGCTCTATTCAGGGGTTCAGTTATATGGGATCTAGGTGAAATAATGAACCGATCAAACCATTTTCAATAGGCTTCGTTCCTGGGACAATAGAATATCATGTATCAAAATTGCGACATGTAGTTTGATTACAAGGTTTACATGGACGGACGGACAGACGGACGGACGGACATAGCTAAATCGACTCAGAAAATGATTCAAAGCCGATTGGTATACTTTAAGGTGGGTATAGGACCAATGTTATTGAGCGTTACAAACATCAGCACAAACCCAATATACCCTCCCCACTAAAGTGGTGTAGGGTATAAATAGAGATTTAAGCTAGAAATATACAAGCAAATCTAGTTTTTGGTACAAAATCAAGGTTTTAGAAAAAACCAAGTGTTTAGTAAAAAATCTAGTTTTTCATAAAAAACTAGTTTTTCGAAAAAATCTATATATTAGTAAAAAATCTATATATTAGTAAAAAATCTATATATTAGTAAAAAGTCTATATATTAGTAAAAAATGTAGTTTTTAGTAAAAAAACTATCATGAAAATTGCGACCTGTAGCGTGAGCGCAAGTCTTACATGGATACACTGACAGACAGACAAACAGACAGACGGACGGACATAGTTTAATCGACTCAGAATGTGGTTCTGAGCAGATTAGTATGCGTGGAAAGTACGGCTAAATAACGAATTTTATCTGTAAAGCATTGTGCGATTCACTGCAAAATCTATCGTGTTTGAGTTCCATATCTACTTATAGGAAAAAGAGTCGAATGACATAGAAGAACATTTAGAAAAATAATAAATAGAGTTGGATAAAGAAAGGAATAATTAAGTTGGATAAAGGAAGGAATAAAAAATCTAGATTGGGTTAAAAGAAGAGTATGTAACAAATTTAATAAAATTATCTTGAAAATTGCGACAGACAGACGGATATAGTTTATTCGACTCAGAAAGTGATTCTGAGCAGATTAGTATACTTGGACAGTACGGCTAAAGAACGAGTTTCATCTGTAAAACATTGTGCGATTCACTGGAAAATCGATCGTGAATGAGTTCCATATTTACTTATAGAAAAAAGAGTCGAATGACATAGAAGAACATTTAGAAAAATAATAAATAGAGTTGGATAAAGAAAGGAATCTGGCGATACGCCTGTATATATCTTGAATTCTTATAAACGATCCCTGAGAAAATTCTTTCTTAATCGAGTGAAGTAGTAACCGACAAGCAATTAGTTTAGATAAAAGTAGTCCATGCAACATTCTTAATCCCTTTGAAAGGAAAGCTAGTTGGTTTCCTGTAGAGCGATCTTTTTGAAAACTTTACTGGTTGTTGTTAAGTAAAAATAGTTTTTAAACACTTCATATATTAAATTTCATTATATTATCCATAACTTTGGAAAGTCCAGAAGATATTGCTGTTCTGCGATAATTTTATTAGATATTAGCTTTTGGGCTGCACACGATTAGGGATAAACTGATAATTTGAGAAGTCAAATGTATTTGTTTTATCTATTTTTCAATACAACCCTAATAAAAACAAAATTCCAAATGAGAAAAAAAAACAAAAATATACTAAAATTTTTGATTTAAATTCCAATGTGGCTAAAATGATGTGTTGTTAATCAAAAAATAACTTAAAATAATGAAATCAATGCAAATCATGGTAAAAATTGAATTACAAATGAAAAACAAGTATTATATATTACGTATTTTATTACAAATGATGAAATATAATATTTTATTTGAAAATACTTTTCTTTTAATATATTTTCAACAAAATTTTAACTAAACATATGTATGTATATGTATGTATGTATTTTATAGAAAATTTTTGAATAATTACCAATACCTAATGACCCCTCTAGTAAATACTTTTGTTATTTACAATATTTTATTACATTGTTCTAATGTTTTTATTATAATTTTTCAATTGTTTTATTTTATGCCTGATTACACAAACTAATTAGTCTATTGTGTGTGTGTGTTTGTAAGGAAATTAATTTTAAAGTGAGATAAATCAATTAAGTGCAATTTATTAAAATGGTCAAGAGATTAAAATGCTGGCAAAATGATTTCAAGTGTCATTAATTTCTTTTTTGAAATATCAATTTATTATTGTAAATTATTTATGTATGATTAAGTTGTTTTATACATATTTCTGTAAGTATTAAGATGAGTTATAGTTGGCTTTTACATAAGTGCTATATAACATTTCTTTAGGAATTTTATAGAGATTTTAATTAAAAATCACTTGGGTTTAAATAAGGAAAGCTGATGATTTTAATATTAAATTTTAATAATTTAAATTAAATAATTGTATTCCTCAAATAGTGTCAAAAATTGCACATGCTAATTATTTATAAAACAATAAAAAAATTATGAATAATTCAAAAAAAGAGAAGCAAATCACAAAATGTATATTTAAACTAGGTATTTAAATAATTAAATTATGCTTATTTATGCAAATCTACTTTAAAAGGATTAATAATATAATTTAAAATTAAAAAAGTTAAAATTTTTTCAAATTATTTTATTATAATTTGTTTTTAATTCAATGAGTTTTATAAAGTTTTTATAATAACAAGAAACTATATATTTTTTTTAGCTACATATACATCATGAAATTTTTAATAGTTTTTGTTTTTCTCATTGTTTGTGCCACACAAACAAATCATATGAGAATCGATGAAAATCTTAATGATAATGCGCATAATTTTCAAATATTATCGATAAATAGTGAAAAGCAATCATACGATATAAACGAGCCAAAATCACGTGCCAAAAGAGGAGTTTTTTGGGATTTCTTTCAGAAAATGGTTATAACCAAGAATTTAATTGTTGATGTAAGTAGTGTAGAAGAGAATTTTATAAAAAAATATATATATATTTCATTAGCTTTACATACCAAGTAAGTAAAAACTCATTAATCCCTTTAATCATTGAATAATTTAGATGTTCATTAACATTACTTTAATTATTTTACTTTAATTTTTAATTATTCTCATTAGCAATACACCGATACCCGCAATACTTTTGACGAAGTCTATAATTTAATCAACGATCAGTTTAGTGATCCCGCCCAGGAAAAACCCAGACACCCTTCCAGCACTACAGAATCTCCGGTTAGTATATATACACTACCCTACGGTAGCAGAGTGGGTTTTATGTGTTTGAGTTAATGAAGTTTAACTTAATTTTTTTTTTAAATAGTACTAATTTTTTCCAAAAAGTACTCTTCTATCTTATTCTGTTATCTATTGCATAGTCCATGGACAAGTTTATTGACTTTTGATAAGTCTCTAGACTACTCTATTAATTAGCCAGTAAACCATTATATGAACAAATATATACATAAGTCTATACTAGTCAATGAACTAAACTATTGCAAAATCTATAACTAATATATTGACTAGTTTTCGGATTAGTTTATGTACTTGATTATCTTCGGTCGATTATATCAACCTATACCCATCAAAGTGACTACCCCAAAATATATTTGGGATACATATCTTCAATAATTCTATATATTTTCACATCTATGTAGTTCAGTTCTATTTCAGTTCTAGTTCAGTTCTAGTTCAGTTCAGTTCTAGTTCAGTTCTAGTTCTAGTTCAGTTCTAGTTCAGTTCTAGTTCTAGTTCAGTTCTAGGTTCAGTTCTAGTTCAGTTCTAGTTCAGTTCTAGTTCAGTTCTAGTTCAGTTCTAGTTCAGTTCTAGTTTCAGTTCTAGTTCAGTTCTAGTTCAGTTCTAGTTCAGTTCTAGTTCAGTTCTAGTTCAGTTCTAGTTCAGTTCTAGTTTCAGTTCTAGTTCATTCTAGTTCAGTTCTAGTTCAGTTCTAGTTCAGTTCAGTTCTAGTTCAGTTCTAGTTAGTTCAGTTAAGTTCTAGTTCAGTTCTAGTTTTCAGTTCTAGTTCAGTTCTAGTTCAGTTCAGTTCTAGTTCAGTTCTAGTTCAGTTCTAGTTCAGTTCTAGTTCAGTTCTAGTTCAGTTCTAGTTCAGTTCTAGTTCAGTTCTAGTTCAGTTCTAGTTCAGTTCTAGTTCAGTTCTAGTTCAGTTCTAGTTCAGTTCTAGTTCAGTTCTAGTTCAGTTCTAGTTCAGTTCTAGTTCAGTTCTAGTTCAGTTCAGTTCTAGTTCAGTTCTAGTTCAGTTCTAGTTCAGTTCTAGTTCAGTTCTAGTTCAGTTCTAGTTCAGTTCTAGTTCAGTTCTAGTTCAGTTCTAGTTCAAATCTAGTTCAGTTCTAGTTCAGTTCTAGTTCAGTTCTAGTTCAGTTCTAGTTCAGTTCTAGTTCAGTTCTAGTTCAGTTCTAGTTTAGTTCTAGTTCAGTTAGTTCAGTTCTAGTTCAGTTAGTTAGTTCAGTTCTAGTTCAGTTCTAGTTCAGTTCAGTTCGTTCAGTTCTACTTCAGTTCTAGTTCAGTTCAGTTCTAGTTCAGTTCTAGTTCAGTTCTAGTTCAGTTCTAGTTCAGTTCTAGTTCAGTTCTAGTTCAGTTCTAGTTCAGTTCTAGTTCAGTTCTAGTTCAGTTCTAGTTCAGTTCTAGTTCAGTTCTAGTTCAGTTCTAGTTCAGTTCTAGTTCAGTTCTAGTTCAGTTCTAGTTCAGTTCTAGTTCAGTTCTAGTTAGTTCAGTTCTAGTTCAGTTCTAGTTCAGTTCTAGTTCAGTTCTAGTTCAGTTCTAGTTCAGTTCTAGTTCAGTTCTAGTTCAGTTCTAGTTCAGTTCTAGTTCAGTTCTAGTTCAGTTCTAGTTCAGTTCTAGTTCAGTTCTAGTTCAGTTCTAGTTCAGTTCTAGTTCAGTTCTAGTTCAGTTCTAGTTCAGTTCTAGTTCAGTTCTAGTTCAGTTCTAGTTCAGTTCTAGTTCAGTTCTAGTTCAGTTCTAGTTCAGTTCTAGTTCAGTTCTAGTTCAGTTCTAGTTCAGTTCTAGTTCAGTTTCTAGTTCAGTTCTAGTTCAGTTCTAGTTCAGTTCTAGTTCAGTTCTAGTTCAGTTCTAGTTCAGTTCTAGTTCAGTTCTAGTTCAGTTCTAGTTCAGTTCTAGTTCAGTTCTAGTTCAGTTCTAGTTCAGTTCTAGTTCAGTTCTAGTTCAGTTCTAGTCAGTTCTAGTTCAGTTCTAGTTCAGTTCTAGTTCAGTTCTAGTT